ATTGGGTTGCTTTTCTGTTGTTGAGTTGTATAAGCTGTTTGTATATTTTGGAAGTTAAGCCCTTGTCGGTCTTATCATTTGCAAATATGTTCTCCCACTCCTTAGGTTGTCTTTTCGTTTTGTTTATGGTTTCCTTTGCTGTGCAAAAGCTTGTAAGTTAGATTAGGTCCCTTTTGTTTATTTTTGTTTTTATTTCCATGCTTTCTTTTTTATGATGTGTTTCCCCCAAATTAGTTAATTTCACTTTTTTTTTAACCTATATTTCATGACTGTAAATGATAATTTTCAACTCAGTACACTTAAGACAATGTGGTGTTGAATTCAAATCTGACTTTTCCATATGTCTATTGCCAATAAAATATGTGATTGTTTATTATTACCCCTACTGTGTACCTGATTTATCAATATTATTTGTCTTCTTGGTTAATGATCAGTGTTTGTTTTATTCTGACTTGGTGAGTAGTTATGGAAATAATCTTAATCTCTCATCTATTTTTTAATTAATTTATTATTTTTATGATAAAATTTTGAATTAAAAGTATTTTTTTAAGTTTTTTACACTTCTATTTTGGGTATTTAATTTTTAATTATGAGAAACATATCACAATATGTATCATCTTCACCATTTTTAACTGTACAGTTCAGTGCATTAATTATATTCACGTGATTGTGCCATCCATCTCTGGATAGTTTCATCTTGAAAAACTGGCTGAATACTCGTTAAACAAACACTTCCCCATTTGCCTCTACTCCAAGCCTCTGTCAACTAACATTCCACTTTTTAAAATGAGGTTAACTACATTAAGTTGCTCACATAAGGGAAATAGTATACTTTCTGTCCCTTTGTGACTATTACGTATCACAACATAATGTCTTCAAGATTTATTCATGTTGTATCATGTGACAAGATCTGTTTCTTTTTCAAACTTGAATAATAATACACTGTATGTATATGCTACGTTTTCTTTAACCATTCTTTTATGCATGAATATTGGGCTATTTCCTCTGTTACTGATTTTGTGAGTAATGCCCCAGTGTAGCTGAGTGTGAAAATGTCTCTAACAGATCCTCCTTTGAAGTTCTTTATATACATACCCAGAAGTGGGAGAACTGGATCATATCATAATTTTATGTTTAATATTTTGAGAAAGCTCCATATTGTTTTTTATGCTTGTTATATACTTTTTTATGTTTCCTTGAACAGTAAATAAGGATCCTAATTTCTCCATATCCTTGCCAACATTTGCCATATAAATATATCATAGATACAATATAGATACATAATATAATATAGATAGAATAAAGATAGAATATAATATATAAAATATATGTGTAGTGGTCATCCTAATCACTATGAGGTGATACCTCATTGTGGGTTTTTTATTTCTTTAATAATAACTTATTTTGAGCATCATTCACATTTCTGTTTTTATTTGCATATCTTATTTGAATTAATGTCTGTTTAATTCTCAGCCCATACATTATGGTACTTGTTTTTTGAAGTTGTTGTGTTCTAGGAGTTATTTATGTATTCTTCACTTTGCTTCCTTGTCAGATATTTGCTTTGCAGAATTTTCTATTCTTCCACAGGTTGCCTTTTCACCCCATTGATTGTTTCCTCTAATGTGTACGAGTTTTTCATGTGATGTAATCCATTTCAATTCCACTGCTTTTGTTGCTTGAGCTTTAATTTCATATCCAAAAAATCACTGCCAAATCAAATGGCATAAAACTTTTCCCCTATGTTTTCTTCTAGGAGATTTATTATTATAATTTCATATTTCAATCTTCAATCCTTTTTGAGTTAACATTTGTATGTGGTATTAGTTAAGGGTCCAACATCAGTCTGTCACATGTAAACATCCAATTTTTCCATCTCCATTTCTGTATGAGACTATCCATTTCCATTTGCTTGTTATAGGCACCCTGGTTGATGATGATTTGACCATAAATATGAGAGCTTCTATCTGTGCTCTCTATGTTGATCCATTATTTTGTTTCTGTCTGAGGGTTTGTACTACCCTTTTTTTTGACAACTGTTGCTTTGTAGTATGTTTTAAAATCAGGACATGTCATGCCTCCAACTTTCTACTTTCTTTACCAGGTTATTCAGTATTTTATGATATTCCACATACATTTTAGAAGGAACTTTTCTATTTTTGCCTAAATTGTCATCGGAATTTTTTTTTTCAGTACACGGGCCTCTGACTGTTGTGGCCTGTCCTGTTGTGGAGCACAGGCTCCGGACACGCAGGCTCAGCGGCCATGGCTCACGGGCCCAGCCACTCCGTGGCATGTGGGATCCTCCCAGACCAGGGCACGAACCCGTGTCCCCTGCATTGGCAGGCAGACTCTCAACTACTGCACCACCAGGGAAGCCCTGTCATTGGAATTTTGAAAGAGAATGTTCTGATTCTATAGATCCCTTGAATAGTATTGACAGTTAATGATATAAGTATTCCTATCCAAGAGCATGGAATGTGTGTCTGTTTATTTACATCTTCTCGAGTTACTTAGTATTCCTATCCAAGAGCATGGAATGCGTGTCTGTTTATTTACATCTTCTCGAGTTATTTCCAGAAATATTTATAATTTTCACCATACAAGTCTCCATTTCCTTCATTACATTAGCTCCTAATATATTATTCTGTTTTAAGCTAGTGTAAATGAAAATATACTCTTAATATCTTTCTTGGATTATTTTTTGCTACTGTATAGAAACACAACTAATTTTTGTTTAATTTTGAATTTTGCTAAATTTGTTTATAATGTCTATGTTTATTTGCTTTTTAACATAGATGCTTTAAGGTTTTCTATGTAAGATTTTGTCATCTGTAAACAGAAGTATTTTACTCTTTCCTTTCTGGTTTGGATGCCTTTTTTTCTTTGCATGATCATTTTGATTAGGCAATCCAGTACTGTGTTGAATCCAAGTGATGAGAGTATGAATTCTTACCATTTTCTGAAATATAGAGAAAAAGCTTTGTCTTCTACTATTGAGTATACTGATAACTGTGGCCTTTTTGTATGATTTTTATTACATTCTGATAGTTTTCATTAATTCCTATTTTTAGTGTTTTTTAACATGAAAAAGTTCTGAATTGTCTATTTATCTGCATCATTTGATATGTAGTGTGACCTTAATTCTTTGTATGTGCTCTTAATATATTTTTTAAATTTCCATTTGTTGAAATACTTTTGAATTCTACAAATAATCCTGAATTTTATTGGTGTACAATCCTTAAACGTGCTTCTGAATTCATTTTTCTAGTATTTTATTGAGGACTTTTGTGTCAGTATTCAGCACAGTTATTGGCTTGTAGTTTTCTTCTTTTCTTTTTAAATTTGTAGTATCTTTGTTTGTCTTTGATATTGGGTAATGTGGCCTCATAGAAAGTGTGATAATTTCTCTCCTCTTCACACTTTGGAAATATTTGTTGAGAATTGGTGCTCATTTTTCTCGAAATGTTGCTGGAATTATCCAGTTAATTCATCTGGTTCATAGATTTTCTTTGTTGGGAATTCTTTAAAATTAGTATTTTGTCTACTTAATAGTTGTAGGTTTGTTGTGATTTTTTAAATTCCTTCCTGCTAAATTCTAAGTAGGCTGTATCTTTCTAGAAGTCCAATTTGTTGTCGTGTAATTATTCATAGTAGCCTCCTTTAATTTCTTTTATTTCTATAGTATCATTTTTTATCTCTGCTTTCACTTCTGATTTTAGTTGAGTCTTTTCTGTTTTATCCTTAATCTAGCTAAGGGCTTATCAATTATACATAAAATTGTATGTATCTTCACCGAGATTACTAAGTGGGATAATTTATTATTTGGTATCTTTCAGCTATATCTTCTCATGATATCCAGGGTTTGAGGCCAAAAAAGCCAGGCATAGAGGATTTATTCCAAACCATGCTGGTCAGAAAATATGAAAGCTATTGCCTTGGAAATTTAAACTTAATGAAAGACTGGGAAAGTAAGGGGTCATGTGAAGGGCTGAAAGTATGTTATTATGGACATAATCATATTGGGACAGTTTCCCATAATAAAAGCATTACTGCCAAAGGAAACCAAGGGTATAAATGAAAGTGGGAGAAACTATACTTTACATCAATATCTTTGGCAGAAAATTATGTTTTTGTAAGCAAAGGCCCACATCATTTTTTTTAACATACACATTCTCTGAATGGAAATTTGGAAAACCTGTAAAGTCATCTAGTCTATACTGCAAATACTCATTCAGGCAATTATGAATATAGGCTTGGATTAAACATTCATTTAAACTTGTCTGAAGACAAGAGATTTTATTTTATTTATTTATTTTACGTTATTTCCATTTATTCCCTGGGCCCCATGCGCATTTTTTTTCAAGACAAAAATCAATTTATTGTTTTGTTCTCATCTCCTCAAATTTAGTGCATTTTCACTTACATTCAGTGTCCAATATTTTACAGCGCTTGATTAAAAGGTACACACTCCTACATATAAAATAGATAAAGACAAGAGACTTTAAAATGAAGAAAAACATCCCAATGTGACCAATTTGAGAGATCCTTTTGCAAGTGTTCTTAATTCCTTAACCAAGAAATATTTTCTCCATGTTCCAAAACCTGTAATGCTGATAATAATGGGAGAGTCGTTATTTAGCCAGCATTGTTCAATAGGTATCATAGTGTAGGTAATATGAAACAACTCTTCTTGGGTAATAAAATGAGTAAGGCCTTAAGCAAGAGTTCTATTTTCAACAATCACAGGAGTGTTTATAATGGTGCAAGAAGTTATCCATGCATTGAAACTTGGAAAAACTTTGACCAAGACTCAAATCTTATGAGACGTCAGAATTCAACTTTCAGAGAACCATCTTAAAAGTAATAAATGTAGAAATGTCTTTTATCAAAGCTGAAATCTTACTGTGTATAAGAGTGTTCATATTGGAGACAAGGCTTACAGATGTAGTGAATACGGTAAAGTTTTTAACCAGTCCTCAAAACTTACTCAACATCAGAGAATTCATAATAGAGAGGAGCATTACAAGTGCAATAAATGTGGGAAGGGCTTTAAGCAGTCATTAAATCTAAGACATAAGAAAATCCATACTGAAGGGGAATCTTACAAATGGAAAGAATGTGGTAAAGACTGTAAATTGTGTTCAAACCTTAGTCAACATCAGATAATTCATCCTGGGGAGAAACCATACAAATGTAAAGAACATGGCGAAGCCTTTACCCAGGGCTCAAATCTTAAGCAGCATCAGAGATCTTATATTGGAGAGAAACCTTACAAATGCACAGAATGTGGCAAGGCTTTTAAAAGGCATTCAAAACTTTCTGAACATCAGAGAATTTATATTGGGGAGAAACCACAGGACTGTAAAGATTGTGGCAAAGCATTTACCCAGGGCGCAAATCTTAAGCAGCATCAGATGCAGCAGAAAAGCCTTACAAATGTACAGAATGTAGCAAAGCCTTTAAAAGGCATGCACAGTTTACTCAGCATCACAGATTTCACACTGGGGAAAAACCATACAAAGGTAAAAAATGCGGCAGACCTTTAATCAGCGTTCATGTCTTACTCAGCATCAGAGATCTCATACTGGAGAGAAACCTCCCAAATGTAGCCAGTATAACAAAGCCTTTAACTGGCTCTCGAAACTTTCTAGACATCAGAAAATAGGTACTAGGGAAAATCGTACAAATGTGGAGAATGGGACAAAGCCTTTAACCAGAGTTGTCACCTTGCTCGACATCAGAGTCCATGGTGGAGAGAAACCCTGCAAATGTAATAAGTGATGAAAGATGTTTGTTTTAAATACATACTTTAGAAAACACCTGAGAGTTCGTAATGGAAAGAAATTTGAATGACAAAAAAAATTAAGTAATCAAAAATAAATACTAATTCAATGCCAGAATACATAGTAGAAGCATTCAATCAATACCACTTTTCTGGCATTACTCTAAATCAGAATATTGTAGAAAATAATCTAAAGACAAAACACTTATAGAATTTATTTGTTGGTATTGATTACAGGATAAAGGGGATGGATGTTTGGACAAGTAAATCATTATCAATACCTTTATTTATATCAGCACTACTTGAGATTATTTGAAAACAAAAATTAATTCAACTCTAAAATGACTACATGTTATGCTTTTCTTTCTAGTGTGAATGTACACTCATTTTTTTTTAAATAGATCTTTATTGGAGTACAGTTGCTTCACAATACTGTGTTAGTTTCTGTTTCACACCAAAGTGAACCAGCCATATGCATACATATGTCCCCATATCCCCTCCCTCCTGAGCTTCTCTCCCATCCTACCTATCCCACCCCTCTAGGTCATCACAAAGCACCGAGCTGATCTCCCTGTGCTATGCTGCTGCTTCTCACTAGCTAACTATTACGTTCGGTAGTGTATATATGTCGACGCTACTCTCACTTCACCCCAGCTTATCCCTTTCACCCCGTGTCCTCAAGTCCATTCTCTATGTCTACATCTCTATTCCTGCCCTGCAACTAGGTTCATCAGTACCTTTTTTTTTTTTTTTTTTTTTTTGCATTACGCGGGCCTCTCACTGTTGTGGCCTCTCCTGTTGCGGAGCACAGGCTCTGGACGCGCAGGCTCAGCGGACATTGCTTACGGGCCCAGCCACTCCGCAGCATGTGGGATCTTCCCGGACCGGGACACGAACCTGTGTCCCCTGCATCGGCAGGCGGACTCTCAACCACTGCGCCACCAGGGAAGCCCCCTTTTTTTTTTTTAGATTCCATACATATGTGTTAGAATACAGTATTTGTTTTCCTTTTTCTGACTTACTTCACCCTGTATAGCAGACTCCGGGTCCATCCAACTTACTACAAATAACTCAATTTCGTTTCTTTTTATGGCTGAGTAATATTCCATTGTACGTACGTGCCATAACTTATTTATCCATTCATCTGTCAGTGGACATTTAGGTTTGTTCCGTGTCCTGGCTATTGTAAACAGTGCTGCAATGAACGTTGTGGTACATGATTCTTTTTGAATTATGGTTTTCTCAGGGTATATGCCCAGTAGTGGGATTGCTGGGTCATATGGTAGTTCTATTTTTAGTTTTTTAAGGAACGTCCATACTGTTTTCCATAGTGGTTGTATCAATTTACATTCCCACCAACAGTACAGGAGGGTTCCCTTTTCACCACACCTTTCCAGCATTTACTGTTTCTAGTTTTTTATTTGTTTGTTTGTTTTTTGCGGTACATGGGCCTCGCACTGTTGTGGCCTCTCCCGTTGCAGAGCACAGGCTCCGGACGTGCAGGCTCAGCGGCCATGGCTCACAGGCCGAGCCGCTCTGTGGCACGTGGGATCTTCCCGGACCAGGGCATGAACCCGTGTCCCCTGCATCAGCAGGCGGACTCTCAACCACTGCGCCACCAGGGAAGCTCTGTTTCTAGGTTTTTTGATAATAGCCATCTGGACTGGTGTGAGGTGATACCTCGTTGTAGTTTTGATTTGCATTTCTCTAATAATTAGTGATGTTGAGCATCTTATCATGTGCCTCTTGACCATCTGTATGTCTTCCTTGGTGAAATGTCTATTTAGGTCTTCTGCCCATTTTTTTTTTTTTCTTTTGCGGTACGCGGGCCTCTCACTGTTGTGGCCTCTCCCGTTGCGGAGCACAGGCTCCGAACGCGCAGGCTCAGAGGCCATGGTTCACGGGTCCAGCCGTTCCGCGGCACGTGGGATCCTCCCGGACCGGGGCACGAACCCGTGTCCCCTGCATCGGCAGGCGGACTCTCAACCACTGCGCCACCAGGGAAGCCCTTCTGCCCATGTTTTAATTGGATTGTTTGTTTTTTTGATATTGAGCTCCATGAGCTGTTTGTATATTTTGGAGATTAATCCTTTGTCTGTTGTTTCATTTGCAAATATTTTCTCCCATTCGGAGGGTTGTCTTTTTGTCTTGTTTATGGTTTCCTTTGCTGTGCAAAAGCTTTTAAGTTTAATTAATTCCCATTTGTTTATTTTTGTTTTTATTTCTGTTACTCTAGGAGGTGGGTCAAAAAAAAGATCTTGCTGTGGTTTATGTCAGTGTTTTTCCTATGTTTTCCTCTAAGAGTTTTATAGTGTCTGGTCTTACATTTAGGTCTTTAATCCATTTGGAGTTTATTTTTGTGTATGGTGTTAGGTGGTGTTCTAATTTCATTCTTTTACATGTAGCTGTCCCGTTTTCCCAGGACCACTTATTGAAGAAGCTGTCCTTTCTCCATTGTATGTTCTTGCCTCCCTTGTCATAAATTAGGTGGCCATATGTGTGTGGGTTTATCTCTGGGCATTCTATCCTGTACCATTGATCTATATTTCTGTTTTTGTACCAGTACCATATTATCTTGATTACTGTAGCTTTGTGGTATAGTTTGTAGTCAGGGAGCCTGATTCCTCCAACTCCTTTTGCCTTTCTCAAGATTGCTTTGGCTATTCGGGGTCTTTTATGTTTCCATACGAATTGTAAAATTTTTTTGTTCTAATTCTGTGAAAAATGCCATTGGTAGTTTGATAGGGCTTGCATTGAATCTGTAGATTGCTTTGGGTAGTATAGTCATTTTCACAATATTGATTCTTCCAATCGAAGAACATGGTATATTTCTCCAACTGTTTATGTCATCTTTGATTTCTTTCATCAGTGTTTTATAGGTTTCTGAGTACAGGTCTCTCACCTCCTTAGTCAGGTTTATTCCTAGGTATTTTATTCTTTTTATTGTGATGGTAAATGGGATTGTTTCCTTAATTTCTCTTTCTGATTTTTTGTTATTGACGTATAGGAATGCCAGAGATTTCTGTGCATTAATTTTGTATCCTGAAACCTTACCAAATTCATTGATTAGTTCCAGTAGTTTTCAGGTGGCATCTTTAGGATTTTCTATGTATAGTATTATGTCATCTGCCAACAGTGACAGTTTTACTTCTTCTTTTCAAATTTGTATTCCCTTTATTTTTTTTTTTCTTCTCTGATTGCTGTGGCTAGGACTTCCAAAACTATGTTGAATAAAAGTGGTGAGAGTGGACATCCTTGTCTTATTCCTGACCTAAGTGGAAATGCTTTCAGTTTTTCACCATTGAGTATGATACCTGCTGTGTTTTTGTCGTATATGGCCTTTATTATGTTGAGGTTGTTTCCCTCTATGCCCATTTTCTGGAGATGTTTTATCATAAATGGGTGTTGAATTTTGTCAAAACCTTTTTCTGCATCTATTGAGATGATCATATGGTTTTTATTCCTTAATTTGTTAATGTGGTGTATCACATTGATTGATTTGCATATATTGAAGAATCCTTGCATACCTGGGATGAATCCCACTTGATCATGGTTTATGATCCTTTAATGTGTTGTTGGATTCTATTTGCTCGTATTCTGTTCAGGAATTTTGCATCTATGTTCATCAGTGATATTGGTCTATAATTTTCTTTTTTTGTGATATCTTTTTCTGGTTTTGGTATCAGGATGATGGTGGCTTCGTAGAATGAATTTGGGAGTGTTTCTCCCTATGCAATTTTTGGAAGAGTTTGAGAAGGATAGGTGTTAGCTCTTCTCTAAATGTTTGATGGAATTCTCCTGTGAAACCCTCTGGTCCTGGACTGTTGTTTGTTGGAAGATTTTTTTCTTTTTTATAAATTTATTTTATTTTTGGCTGCATTGGGTCTTTGTTGCTCTGTGCGGGCTTTCTCTAGTTGCGTGAGTGGGGGCTACTCTTCATTGCAGTGCACGGGCTTCTCATTGCAGTGGCTTCTCTTATTGTGAAGCATGGGCTCTAGGCGTGCAGGCTTCAGTAGTTGTGGTGCACAGGCTCGGTATTTGTGGCTCACGGGCTCTAGAGTGTGGGCTCAGTGCACAGGCTTAGTTGTTCTGTGGCATGTGGGATCTTCCCAGACCAGGGCTTGAACCCGTGTCCCCTGCATTGACAGGCAGATTCTTAACCACTGCACCACCAGGGAAGTCTGGAAGATTTTTAATTACAGTTTCAATTTCATTGCTTGTGATAAGTCTGTTTATATTTCCTAATTCTTCCTGTTTCAGTCTTGGAAAATAGTACTTTCGAAGAATTTGTCCACTTCCTTGTGGTTGTCCGTTTTACTGGATATAGTTTTTTGTAGTAGTCTCATAATCCTTTGTATATCTGCAGTGTCAGTTGTGATTTCTCCTTTTTCATTTCTAATTTTATTGATTTGCATCCTCTCTCTTTTTTTCTTGATGAGTCTGGCTAAGGGTTTATCAATTTTGTTTATCTTCTCAAAGAACCATCTTTTAGTTTTATTGATCTTTACTATTGTTTTCTTCGTTTCTATTTCATTTATTTCTGCTCTGTTCTTTATGACTTCTTTTCTTTTACTGACTTCTTTGGGTTTTCTTTGTTCTTCTTTCTCTAGTTGTTTTAAGTGTAGGGTTAGATTGTTTATTTGAGATTTTTCTTGTTTCTTGAGGTGAGATTGAATTGCTATAAACTTCCCTCTTACAACTGCTGTTGCTATGTCCCATAGGTTTGGGGTTGTTATGTTTTCATTGTCATTTGTTTTTATGTTTTTTTTTTATTTCTTCTTTGATTACTTCAGTGATCTCTGCATTATTTAGTAGCGCACTGTTTAGCCTCCAAGTATTTGTGGTTTTTTTACAGTTTTTTTCCTGTAATTGATTTCCAATCTCATAGCATTATGTTCAGAAATGATGCTTGATACAATTTCAATTTTCTTAAATTTTCCACGGCTTGATTTGTGACCCAAGATGTGGTCTATCCTGGAGAATGTTCTGTGTGCACTTG